CTAAATATGGTACCCTTTGCATTGGAATAATGAGTCAATAGTGGAGTGTATATAAATAGATGAATCAAAGAGTATTTGGAAAATATTAACGTACGAAACTTATTTAAACCTACGAAATTGGTACCATGATTTTTTAACAGATGGAGCTAAAATCTTTATATTTTTTGTTGAAATCAAAGTGGGGAAGCATTCCTGAGGTGGCTTTGGAAATTCGTTCTTAAGTGTACTAATCATACCAAAGGGTACTTTATTTGATACAATATGGTTGGGTTGTATAAGAAGGCCTTTCTGGTAATGCGCACAAAAGGTTTGTGCGGATTGTAATCGGACGCGTCCACAGGTTGCGGATAGTGGAAAGCCCAGTAGATATACTGGGTACCTATGAATTGAATAATTAGTCGCGGAGAGTCAGCCTTTAATACTCGAGTGCCAATGATCCTTAGACTGACGAAGCAATGTTTCGGCGCCTCTAAAGTAGCCAAATCGTTGTGCTGGCCTCCACATAAGGAGGACTCGTAATAATAGGATATAATATGACCGTGTGTCCATTAGGTTTACATGTTGGAAATCAGTGTACCGATCATACTCTAACGGAGTCAACAAATAATAGAGTCAACAAATAATACATTTAGTTACCGAGTCCTTACTAAGGTACGGAGGCTATACCTTTGTCGACCTCAGGCCTTTCACAAAACACTGACGTTTGGAAGATGTCCTGCTACCAGTAGAAGGTCGGACGAGAAGTTTGGGAAGTGTTAAAAGACAGTAGCAAACAATCGCTCGATTATTGCGGATATGGTGCCGTTAAGGCTGAGTAAGTATAGTATCCCTGTAGGCTACTGGGAGAGCTCCCTGTATGACGTTAAAGACAACATGGATACCACTGTAGTCTAGACCTGAATAGTCCTGTAGACCTGAATAGTCCTAGCGGCCCCAATAACAATTTGGCGATAAATACCGGCATGTCCACACTCTCAAGGCAGAAGTCAATCGTGTAAGAAGGAGGACAGAGCAGCGTCGCCATTGTTAAGATAAAAGCTCTCCCGAAACCAAGAGAGCCAAATCCAAATCAAAAGGATACGAGGTATAAAAAGACATATCGGCAAGCAGTAAACCACTGCTTAAAAGTCTGATCACACCATCGGCCTCACAAATAAAATGACACTTTAAATATCATAATATTTTATGTGTATATTTGCCCCTACCGAAAATGTTTTCGTAGCTCCCTAGTGTAGGAGAGAGATTTTTGTTATCTCTTTTAGCACAGTCCACTTTGAATGGGATAATAGCATTTGGTGAGCATACCTTCGAATCATTACAAATAAATTAGTTAGAATTCTCCGTTGCAAGTGATATGTTTGAGTAAGATTTCGAGATGTAACCTATACAGGGTTGCCCATATTCGACGGACCCATCTGGCAACGCCATAACTTTTGACAGAGATGTCACATTGCTTAATAACATACCGCGTTTGAAGCGTCAGTCCAAGCAGATTTTTACCATGAACCAATAAACGCCACGCGAGCGCTCTGAAATAGTCAATTGTGTCAATTGAAGTCATTTGTGAAAACTCAACGTGCTTTTAAAACATTAAAAAATGTGAGAAGTGCGCCTTCTAAGAACACCATTAAGCGTTTATACGAAAAATTTTCGACTGGTAAGGCTCTTTCTAATCCGAAGAGGCCATATAAAAGTCGACCAAGGCGATCGGCCGAGAATATCGCTGCCGTATGAGCCAGTGTTGAGAGGTCCCCAAGAACATCCCAAAAACGCCGTTCTCAGCAGTTGGGCATGGCTCGGTCCACTTTACAACGGATTATTCGCATTGATTTGCATTTGTTCCCTGCGGACAAGCCTCGTCGATTGGAATGGGCCCAAAGAGTCATCGAAATGCCGAAAAAAAAAACATGGGTCCGTCGAATATGGGCCACCCTGTACTACAACCAGTTAAACATGATAATATGCACTGAAACCTGCTTACTTGCCCTCCCTTTTAAATTAATATTAAAATGTATCCATAATTGTGGTGCAATGCACACTATGAAGTACTTGTTCCCAAACCCGGCCATCTATATTAATTTTTTGTAAAGCAGATCCATCATGATTATGCCAGACCACAGTACTACATTCATTTTTCCCCCTTTCGACAACAACAAACACTTGGCAGCAATGTTTACATTGACCAGACTGTCAGCGGCCATAAGTTTTATTGTCATCAGACCATTACTATTCCGCGCGATGATGGTAAGAGGTAATTCCAATGACTTATGGAATAAACAAAATCTGCATAGATTCGAGTGTTTGTTTGGTTTGTGTGCGTACTCGCCCACATTGCATTTAAATGATTCATGGGGTCAAGTGTTGTTTTAATAGATTTATTACGATGCATATTTCGCCAATGCAACGGAGGTAATTATATATGCCAATGTAAAAGTTATTACACAAAAGACTATTTGGCAAAAAGGAGACATTTTTTCCAAGCACAATTTGCATAGATGATTACTAGGATAATTGCAATAGTTAAATTATAGTAAATTATTAGACAGCTATAAAAATATAGGCAATAATCTGTAAAATATTTAGGTTTCCAAACGAAAGTCATCGTTGCTAGCAAAATCTATCGATGAAAGACTATTGTAATTAAATGTTAATTAAAGCTCATTAAAGTGTAAATTTTATTATTTATTTATTTAATTTTTTTTTTGTGTGTATTGAAATTAACAACTCTCTTTGAACTTTGGAATTGAAACAAAACGGATGAGAGTCCTATAAATGATATCATGTGTAATAATTATTATTTGTTATTGGTAGTTATTTTTATGAATAGTTACTGCGAATATTTGAATGCAAATTTATGACCTTTAATATTTTGATCGTGACAACCGCCGTCCTTAGCCCTAGCTATGCTTAAATTGGTTATAAATATTTATGGGTTTTCTAAAGATTTTCCAAATGGGTACAAATCACGTTTCATTCTACAAATATACGAATGCATAACCCTCACATTCGTGGTGGACCCTCATACCAAAATTCATAATTCTACCTTTATTCCAAGACAACTCATTGTCCACATTCAACAACCTACTATGAACACTATAACAAAACTCCTAAATCCAGCGCTACGTTTTGCTACACTACTATGGCACTGCTATTGCACGCTTTTCCAAACGTTTTCCATTGTCTAACAAACAGAAAAATTCATTGGTTCAGTTTTATTCTTACCTTTTTATACCCTACACCACATAGTGGTAAGGGTATTATGTCCTTGTGTATTTGTTTGTGACATGGACAAGTTTACTTAGTTACTTTTGAGGATCTTCATGTAAGTGTGTCCCTTTCAGATTCAGCATCAATTTGTTGGGTATCAACGCTCTCTCCGGAAATAACCTTTGTTTTAACCCGGTAATTAACCACTCCTGAAGGCAATTTTCAGCCTAGATGATAGCATCTTCTGGACGTTAAGGTAGATTCTCAAACATTTATGCGGAGATATTTTTCTTTATACTTTTGGTCTCATCATAATCAACTGCATGTGGAAATTTTAAGTTTACTACTTGATATACCCCATATAACAGTCCCTTCCAATTTAAAGCATTTTCAAAATTTCGTATAAATTTTGGGCACAAAGTTGATGTACAGGGTTGCCCATATTCGACTGACCCATCTGGCAACGCCATAACTTTTGACAGAGATGTCACATCGCTTAATGACATACCGCGTTTGAAGCGTCAGTCTAAGCAGATTTTTACCATGAACCAATACACGCCACGCGAGCGCTCTGAAATAGTTGAACTTTACATTCAACAGAAGAAGTCAATTATGAAAAAAAAAATGTGAGAAGTGCGCCTTCTAAGAACACCATTAAGCGTTTATACGAAAAATTTTCGACTGGTAAGGCTCTTTGTAATCCGAAGAGGCCATATAAAAGTCGACCAAGGCGATCGGCCGAGAATATCGCTGCCGTACGAGCCAGTGTTGAAAGGTCCTTAAGAACATCCCAAAAACGCCGTTCTCAGCAGTTGGTCATGGCTCGGTCCACTTTACAATGGATTATTCGCATTGATTTGCATTTGTTCCCGTACAAAATTCAATTGACGCAAAGAATGTTGCCTGCGGACAAGCCTCGTCGATTAGAATGGGTCATGGGTCCGTCGATTATGGGCAACCCTGTATTTTAATTATTAAGTTTCATAGGGAATATACTCGTTTCTAGCTAGCTCCACAATATGATGCGGTCTCCATAAAGCGGTATCTCTAATTTTCGGTATTTTGAAGGTTTCAGATTTAATTTCTTTGGAAATATTTACTAGTATCCATCTTGTCCTTGTGGTATAAAAATTTGCAACACAAAAAAAATTTGTCTATGCCGGAATATATTTCGACATAAGGCTCGTATTGTTCGTTTGGCCGATTTTGTAAAAACTGGCTGTAACATTCTCCCATATTTCACTATATAAATCTTCCCTTACTGGAAGACATTAAAAGTTCGATCAGAATATATTTAAGGCCGTTAGTACTTGTTTCTATGAAAGTCGGAACTCCCTTGGAGCTTGATTGCTCAATAATTCCATCCTTCCGTTGTATCTTCTCTACTTTTAACCAATTTACTTTCAATCCCTTTTTTGTATTTAATTTCAAAATTAAACCACTCGATACAAGCCCAAAAATATGGATCGATATAACTGACAAACATTCGAGAAATCATGTGTAAACCTCTACACAAACCAGAAATTAAGCGACAATGTGGAAACAAACACCAAATTACATACAAACACACATAAATGCATTGACATATACAAATCATTATTATTAGCTTTTGTTTTTTGGGTCGAGACGATTTCAAGTTCATCGACAAGCCGGTAATAATTATGTAAGCGATTGGCGCTAAAAAAACACAATACACAATAAAAGAGAGCCCGAAAAGAGAGGGAGAGAGAAACACCAAAATATTACCCTTATTTCGTAATTTATATTAATTTTTGTTTATTTTTCTCTTACAGAGGTTTGGACTACAAATTCGAACAGTATCGGCTGAATACGGGTGCAACGGTTACAACAAAAATCGCCAAGGGTGAGGTTAAGGGTGCCAAGCGTATGTCAGTATGGGGTAATTCATACTACAGTTTCGAGGGCATACCATTTGCCAAGCCACCCTTGGGTGAATTGCGTTTTAAGGCTCCAGTCGAGGAAGATCCCTGGGATGGTGTTTTGGATTGCACAGGCCCAGCCAATGTTCCCTTTCAAGGGAATATGATTTTCAAGAAATACAAGGGTTCGGAAGATTGTCTGTATTTGAATGTTTTCACCAATGATGTAAGTCCAGAAATTCATTTGAATTAAAAATCTATATTAAATCTAATCCTATTTCTTTTGTAGATCACTCCCTCTGCCCCAAGGCCAGTTATGGTCTGGATTTATGGAGGCGGTTTTCAATTGGGTGAAGCCACTCGAGACATGTATAGCCCCGACTATTTCATGTCAAAGGATGTAGTCCTAGTCACCATTGCCTATCGCTTGGGTCCATTTGGTTTTTTGAGCTTTGATGACCCCAGTGTAGATATACCAGGTAATGCTGGCATCAAAGATCAAATTATGGCTCTCAAATGGGTGCAGAAAAACATTGCCGCTTTTGGCGGAGATCCCAACAATGTGACCCTCTTTGGAGAGAGTGCAGGTGGCACTTCTACCCATTTGTGTATGGTTAGTGAACAATCAAAGGGATTAATACACAAGGCGATTACCATGTCAGGATCGATGCTATGTCCCTGGGCCTTGCCACCACAAAATCAGTGGGCCTATCGTCTAGCCAAAGCCCTTGGTTATGATGGAGAAGAAAAAGCAACCGAGATTTATCAGTTCCTTAAGACAGTCTCTCCCATTGAAATACAAAAAGCAACTCCCACAATTTTGAACAAGGAGGAAAAACACAATCGGGTAATGTTCGCATTTGGTCCAGTGATAGAACCCTATCGCACCAAAGACTGTATCATAGCTGATTCCCCGCTCGAACTTATGAAAACATCATGGAGCAATGATATACCCATGATTTTGGGTGGTACAAGTTTTGAGGGTCTACTCTTTTATCCAGAGGTAATGAGGCGCAAAGCCACCTTGGATGAGGTGGGAGATTGTGCCAACCTATTGCCGCTAGACTTGGGTATTGACAAACGCAGTACTAAGGCTCATGAGTTGGGGTTGAGCTTGAAGAAGGCCTATTTTGGTGAAGAGGAATGCAGCATTAATACCATTATGAAGTTTTTAGAGGTAAGTTGGGAGCCCCATTTAATCTGAGCTTACCTAAAATTAACAATAATTTTCTTTTCCCCACAGCTTTGTTCCTACCGAGAATTCTGGCATCCAATCTATCGCACAGCTTTATATCGCATGCAATTTGCCCGTGCCCCCACCTATGTATATCGTTTCGATTATGACTCGGCCGATTCGAATGCCATTCGTCGCCTTCTGTGTGGTGATGCAGTGAGGGGGGCTTGCCATGGCGACGACATGGTCTACCTGTTCCGTTTTATGTTTTCACATCGCATGCCCATGGACTCTCAGGATTGTAAAGTTTCCAAGACCATGATAGATGTATGGACAAGTTTTGCAGCAACAAGTGATCCTAATTGTGCCTCGTTGGGCGATGTAAAATACGAACCTCTGGGAAAGGATACAACAACAATTAAATGTCTGAACATTTCCAATAAAGTTGACTTTATTGATTTGCCTGAATTAGAGAAAATCAAAGAGGTGTGGAATAGTTTCTATCCCCAGGGGAAGTTATAAGTATGGAGCGGGTGAAGCGAATGGAGAAAAGAGCGAGAGAGAGAGAGAGTTGGCTACCTCATGTAAATAATTTCCATATTCATATTTATGTTAAACAAAACGTCTTAGTAGGGTAAACAGTATTTATAAATAATTATTTTTATTTTGGAGAAAAAAAACTAGAAAAAATCTGATTGTTAACCATTTATAAATTTTAAAATAAATTTTGTTTATACAGAAATTGAAATAGTTTTATGTTTGGTATTGTCTAAATTTATAAATCTTGTTTTAGACGGAGACTCATAACTAAGTTGAGGTGTAGGAAATGTCGATGTTTTATAAATTAATTAATTGCTGGGGAAAATGTTTTATATTTAAGTCATACATCACATTTATTTTATAAAACTGGTTTTAATTGTTATATGAAATAAACATTGTTATACATTTTTAGATCAGGTGTTTTTGTTTATCAAGAAAATGTCAATGCAAGAAAAATATGTGATTATACCCTACAACACTTTGTGTTGGGGGTATTACAAGTTTGATTGGGCCAAAAATTATATAACACCTCGAAATATTGGTCTCCCACATAGGAAAGTATATATGGATCTTCCTATCTCCCCGAGCTGAGTTGATCTATCTATGTATGTCCGTCCGTCTGTCTGTCTATGTTAATTTGTAATCACTCTACAGGTCGCAATTAAGGCCCGATCTTCACGAAATAAAATGAAGGTGTGGATAGGGCCACAATAGGACCCTATTGCTTTTGGAGATTTTCTAGATTTTGTAACTGCTCTACAGGTCGCAATTATAAATCAATCGAAGCGGAAGTGTGCATGGTTCTAGAGCTTAGGACTGGGCAGAAGCCTTCCAATTTTGATGGTCATCGGGTCATTTTTAGTTGGTGAAATAGACCACAACATTTGTGTTAAATAAAATTAAATTTTCCATTAAACCGCGAATATTTTTAATCCCGGCGAAATCACAAATAGACGAACAGGTCAATTCTGACCGTTACGTAGATGCCGATAGTAAATATATCGGATATATTTAGCGAAATATGTACAATACTTATATACAAAGGTAGATGTTAGCTAAAATGCTTATATCTCAAGAATGGCTGGACCGATTTTGACAAATTTTGTCAATTCAGAATGCCCTCTAAAAGTATAAAATCTAAAAATCGCATTAAAAGATGATGTTAATATAGATTTTGTTGTATTTTGTGACATTGTTTATTTTTTCATATTTTTTCCGCATGCGATTTTTTCATTTTGACTTAAAATAGAAGTATACATTTTGTGATTTTTTTTCACCTTACAACACAGGTTATTATATACAGATTGCAATTATCGTCCGATCCTGACGGAATTTCTCTTAGGCTTAGGCTCAGAAGGGCTAGGCCAATTGTATTCAAATATATCCGCAATATGTTTAGGGGTTGTATTGGACCAACAACTAAAAATGTTCCTGATTTTGCAGGGCGCTAAATATCGTACGAAGTTAGAGTTTAGGACAGCGGGTAGAATAGACCACTACTTTTGTGTGAAAAAATAAGAACATTACTTGCAGGCGATATCCGAAATACCCAAAAGGTGAACTTCTGGCATTTTTATGCTGATTTCGTTGACGAATATAGCCAATTATCGTAGATAAGCAAATCATTAGGTGAGTCTAAATTTGGAGATACAGAGGGGCCTCTTGCTTTTAGAGGTGATCGCAAAATGTTAAGGGGTTCAAATGAACCAAAAACAGAAAAATTTTTCTGATTACACAATTAAAGCCAATCGACATTGAGAGGAGAGTCAAGGACATGGAAAAATTCTAGCATTTTGGATGACCATTGGATTATATTTAGCTGTAAAATGAACCACAACAACCAACAGCACAACGGAGTGCGTAAATATTGGGCAAATGTCCCTGGTTAAAATGCTAAGGGTAATATCTGGGCAGTGCTCCGTGACATAATTTTAAAAGCGAAATCTTGCAAAATGGATTTGGACATAAGGGGGCCTCTAACATATTATAGTGTTGTAGGGTATCGCATGGTCGGCCCGCACGACTATAGCCTTTGCTTACTTTTTTTATTTAGAAATATTGAACGTCTGTGGGCTAGATACCAGAAATACCGGATGTATATTGACTATCTTTGAACTCGATCTAAGTTTGGTAAAATATTACAAATAACCAAAGTTTGTATTAAATCAGATACCCCTTCATGAGTTTTTGTGCTAACAAGACAGGTGGGCTTGGGTTTTAAGCCATCATGCCGATGAGACACATTTTGGTCGTATAAAATTATACATATCCACTGTAGCCAGTGTAATATTATTTTAATGGTACCGTCCGATTTGATTTGTTTTGACACATATTTAGCAGAATAAGTTCTAAACCGACATTTCGGGTTGTCAATAAAAAATCTCCTATCACGATTGAGGTAAGCAGAATCTTAAATGCCACCATGGACAACAATAAATTGTCGTTCCCACTACAGTTGAGAAATTGACTCGGAATAAAACTTATCATATCCATAGTGTGAGATAAAAAACTGCAACAAATTCAATTTTATTGAATTAGGGCAAAAAAATGTCGAAATTAGCATCAAATTTTAGAATAAATTTAGATTTGTTCGAATAGGTTCCCTTTGGAACGAATTATGACCTACAAACAGCCAATGAAATCGTCACACGCTACCCGAATTGCTTTGCGAAATTTTGAACCATTCCCGGCGAAGCGCTTTCTTGAGGTGATCGACGGGTATACGGAGATTTTGATGGCCATTGTGCGCTGGAAATGAAGCGAGGGACCTCATTTTGTAACCATTCTTGGGTGGTGCGTGCTGAGTCCTGTTGGAATGTCCAAGGTCTGCTGCCAAAATGTTTGCATGCCCAAGGCTTTAATACACCCTCGAGAATATTTTCGCGATAATATTCGGCATTTATTCCGATGCCACGGTCGATTAATATGAGCGGAGAGCTACAATCGGCTGTTATGGCTGCCCACACCATCACCATAACAGGCGCTCGGGTTCTGGTGGCCAACCGAAGTTGCACATTTTCAGCTGACCTCTTTGGCAAGTAAACACGATTATTTTGTTTGTTTACAAACTGCTGGACAACGAAGAAAACCAAATTCGGCAGTTCACCACTTTCGGCCAAGCGAAGCAACTTCTTAGCTCTTCTGAGTGTATTTTCTTTCTGTTGCAGTGTAAGTTCTTGCACTTTTTGGAGTTTCAATGGCTTTACCGCGAGCTCATTTTTCAATATTTTCCCAATGGAATATTGCGATAGGCTCAGCTCACGAGCCATTTTTCGGCCACTGCGACGCAGGTTTCGATCAAGTCGCTTCTTTACTTTTCGAACCATTTCTGCTGATGTTGCTGTTTTCTTTCGCCCACTTTCTTGACGTCGGGCTAAGCTACCAGTATCGCTGTAACGAGAGATGGTACGAGACACAAAATTTTTATTGACACTTAAATGTTGCAGTGCTCTAACGTGGTTTTTCAGCCAAATATGAAGAAATTACACCAACATGTTTGTTCCGTCTATGGGCCAAAAAATTATTGTTAGAAAAATTTCATTTCAATCGAATAATAAATGCGAACTGCATTTTGTTCACAAAAATACATGGACTAAACCGACTATGAAAGTGATTTTATGAAGATCTTCACGAGCGATGGTACGAGATACAAAATATTTATTCACATTTAAATGCTGGAGTGATCTAACGATAGCCACTTGTGGTTTTCCAGCCAAATATAAAGAAACGCACTTTGACGCTTGAATTCCATCACCAATAACTTTTTCTCTCGAAAATGCTCACCAAAATGCATTTGTAAAGAATATAATGAGCTGTCACTGGAATAATTTTGACAGCTGTTGGACAAGTGGTTTAGAAATGAGAGCAGTCTGAAGTTGGTTGCAGTTTTTTTAATCTCACCCAGTATAGAGAAATATAACAACGATATTACAAAAATTAGAAAAGCTCTCGGCAAGACTGGAATCTGCACACACAAGTACAAAAACTCTTATTCGAGCGAAATCAAAAAAATAAATTTGCTCGTTTTTTTCTGCTCCCGCTCTCGCTCGAATTCCAGTGGGTTACATTCTTTGTACTAATTCGAGCGAGTTTTTCTGCTCCCGATCGAATTCAAGAGAGTTTCAATCTTCCAAGGAGTTTTTCGAAGGTCTACTGATGATGATCTGGTTTGGTAGTATTCACTAGAAAAACCAAATATGTAAAATTTAATATAACACTTTCACATTTAAATAAAATACGGCAAAAATGTAATAAGCGTAGATCTGGCTTAAACGCTGAATTTTGAAAAAAGAAAGTAGTTTAAATAAAAACAAGTAAATATTTTTGTGGGGATAATTCAGACGTTTCCGCTATAGAAGCAAATACATCTTCCACATTAAGGTTTTCCATCTTAACAAGAAAAAAACATGATTATTTTAATAATCGTGAAACGGAATGATCGTAAACATCCGCCTGAAAAAATCGACGAGTTAATACGACATGCAAAAGGGTGGTTTATATGCCTGATTCCAATAATACGAGTCGGTAAGAAATGAATAAATATTAGAGGGGTTCACATCCATGGTGGTTGTAAAACAAGCTAACTGATCTTCAATATATACACACTAACCTACTTAATTCACAATGAAGTCTTTTGGTTTGTGGCTGAGCTAAATTCTTTTCATGCCTTGTATGTCTGATCATATTTAGCTAAGACAAAATGGTTATGGTTGTTGAGTTCGATGATCATTTTTATTATTTTTATGTATTTAGTTAGAGAAAGACCTCATTAGTTAAGAGGTGTTTATAATAAACAAGTTAAAAAGCAGTAAGTTCGGCCGAGCCAAACTTTGTAAATCCTTCACCATTTGGAAAGAATTTGGAAATTTAAAAAAATAAAATCTTTAAAAAATTCTGTTAAATTTTAAAAATACCGAATATTGCCGTCATATTGGGGTCTATACGAAGTGGACCTACATAGACATTGTTTACCATTAGCCATTACAATATTCAAATTCGAAACTTGAAATAAAGGGTTAAAATGTAGCTAAAATCATCAAAATATCGTACATAGGGAGGTACCATTATATCGGAGCTGTGCGAAGACCTGGACCAGCATAGACAATTTTCTGTCACAGGCTATAGCATCCATTACTAACGTCAAATACGATATCTCAAACAATTTCGGTGGGTATTGCACCTAAACTCGTCAAAATACCAACTACAGGAAGGTACTGATATATGGAGCCTATACGAAGACCTGGACCTGCATAGACATTTTTCGGTCACAGACTGTAGTTCCCGTTACGAACTCCAAATACAATTCCGGTGAATAATGTCGCTAATATCATCAAAATACCGAATATAGGGAGGTACCGTTATAATGGGGCTATACAAAGACGTGGACCTGCCCAGATAATTTTCTGACATAG